AGGCGGGGAACGTTGGAGTCTGCCATCACTGGAGCAAGCAAGCCTCCCTGTTCGCTTCAGTGCATGGCTGCCGGCCGCCATCTTGGCTGACAGTTAATTTGCATAAGGATATGCTGATTAGCCAATGGGAAGGGTAGCGGTCATACGCTAATTACCATGTTTCTCTTTTATTAGTGTAGATGTATGTATGTGTGTGTGTGTGTGTGTGTGTGTGTGTGTGTGTATTAGAGGCCCAGTGCACGAAATTCGTGCACCAATAGGGTCCCTAGCAGCTGTGGGCTGCCGGTTGCCAACCGGGGCCTCCCTTCCTACTGTTGGCTGGCCGGCCCAGCCCACTGGTGGAACTCCTGGTCGAGGGGACAATTCCTATATATATATGTATTTTTTCCCCCAGAGAGGATGGGAGAGGGAGAGCTAGAAACATTAATGAAGAAAGAAACATTGTTTGGCTGCCCCTGCATGCCCGCTACTGGGGATCCAGCCTGCAACCCGGGAATGCGCCTTGACCACAGGAATGGAACCATGATCTCCAGGTTCATAGGTCCATTCCCAACCACTAAGCTATACTGGCCAGGCTGTAGTGAAGTATTTAACACATCCCTCTCAATAACTTATAGGGTGTTAACGTAAAAACATTCAAACCTGTGAAGAATTTTTGTGAGTTTATTTGAGCCAAACTGTCGACAATTGCTGGGAAGCAGAATCTCAATGGATTGGGATAATGCTCCAGAGAATGGTGGTTTTTTCATCTATTTTTTTAATATATATTTTTTTTATTTCAGAGAGGAAGGGAGAGGGAGAGAGAGCTAGAAACATCAAAGATGAGAGAGAATCACTGATCGGCTGCCTTCTGCACACCCCCTACTAGGGATCCAGCCCGCAACCCAGGCATGTGCCTTTGACCGGAATAGAACCCAGGACCCTTCAGTCCACAGGCTGATGCTCTATCCACTGAGCCAAACCAGCTAGGGCTTCATCTATTTTTATACATTGCAATAAAGGACAGGACATAGGTGGGTTACATGAAATCCAATGGTGATAGATTAGAGAGGTGGGAGAAAGCAAATCGGGGAAACCTCTGGGATTGGATAAAGAGTAAAATGATGCAGGACATAGGGTTACATGAAATCCAATGGTGATAGATTAGAGAGGTGGGAGAAAGCAAATCGGGGAAACCTCTGGGATTGGATAAAGAGTAAAATGATGGACACATACTTCTTTTACTTGTGGGTACAGGATAGTTAACAACAATTGACATGATAACAATAACAATGAAGGAGTTTGTGGTATCTGTTCTGGCCCCCAGGCACATTAGGTTGTGCCCCAAGGGGTCCGGCAAAAGGGAAGTTACAAGCTACTATTTCAAGGACATGTTATCATAGATGCAAAAAGACAAACAGGCTCAGTTCAGGTCAAGGTTGACCTCCAAAGTGAAGATACTGGCCTAGGACGTAACTACCCACCATAACTGCTTTTAGTTAAAGTTTCATTTCAGACCATCCTCTGTGGTGACTTTAGGTCTCTAAGTTTGCAAGACCGCCGTGCAGGCCTCCCCTGAGCTTGTCAGGTCAGCATGTGGCCCCTTTCGTCCACAAGGGATAGAAGATAAGAAATTCAGTATGAATATAGAAAATTTGAAGAAATGATTCACAAACTTGACCTAACAGAGCAACTACAGAATAAACACTCTTTTCAACTAAGCATGAAAACGTCACCCAAACTGACCATGGTGGGTTGAATAATGGCCCCCAAAGATGTCTACCTCCTGATCCTCAGAACCTGTCACTATGTTTTGTCACATGGCCAAGGGGAATAAGGTTACAGAAGGAATTCGGAGGTACAAATTGGTAGTTACAAAATAGGCACAAGATGTAAAGCACAGCATGGGGAATAGAGTCAATAGTATTGTAATAGCTGTGCATGGTGCCAGGTGGGTAATGGAAATATCGGGGATCACTGCATAAGTGATATAAATGGCTAACCACTGGGCTTCACTGAAACTAGTACAACATTGAATGACAACTGTAATTGGAAAATGTCCAAAAATTAAGCATGAAAAAAAAGATTGCTAATCAGATAACCAGGAGATAAGGAGATTAACCTGGATTATCTGGATGGATCCCAAGCAGTCACGTGTCCTTAGATGTGGAAGACAGAGGGGAAGAGTCAGTGTCGGAGGGATGCGGGAAGTCTCTAGATGCTGGAAAGGGAAGGAAACACTTTCCCCTAGATCAGTGGTTCTCAACCTTCCTAATGCCGCGACCCTTTAATACAGTTCCTCTTGTTGTGGTGACCCCCAATTTCATTGTTACAAATTGAACATAATTAAAGCATAGTGATTAATCACAAGAACAATATGTAATTATATGTGTGTTTTCCGATGGTCTTAGGCGACCCCTGTGAAAGGGTCGTTCGACCCCCAAAGGGGTCTCGACCCACAGGTTGAGAACCCCTGCCCTAGATCATCAAGACGGAACTAGCCCTGGGGACACCTCGATTTTAGCTCACTGTCACCCATTTCAGACTTCTGACCGCAGAGCTGTAAGATAATAAGGTTGCTTGTTCCAAGTCACTGTTTTTCCAATCTCTGTTACTTGCAGCTGATCCAATTGCTAACTGATTCCAGGGAGTCCACTGTCAGCAATTTTAAACAGCAGGAGCAGCCTGGCCATTGTGGCTCAGTGGTTGAGCGTCAACCTATGAACCAGGGGGTTAACAGTTAGATTCCTGGTCAGGGCACATACCCGGGTTTCGGGCTCTATCCCCAGTAGAAGAAGCGCATGAAAGGGTGTAGGTGGAATGTAGCCTGTCTTGGGGACTGACAAGAGCTGAGTCTGAAGAAGTAGGGTAGGACCCTATCCTCCCCATTCATTCACTCATACATTCATTCATGAAACATTAACCAAGCACCTATTCTCTGCTGGATCCTGTGTGGAACTCAGGAATGCAGAGATAAATAGAACAAGGTCCTTGCTCTCAAGGAGCTCACAGAGGAAGAGAGAGAATTAAACTCAAGAACAAAACACTGGAGAAGGGCAGAGGCAGGAACACGCACCAGATGAGCTGGAGCACAGAAACTCTTCTGGTTGCAAGGAATTCCAAAGTGCACAAGCTTTGACCAAAAGTGCATGGGCTCATATAGACCGAAGGACGGAAGGGCAGAGGGAGGATGTGGGCAGAGAGGATGCGTGAGCAAAGGCAGGGCGGTGAAGAACAGCATGGAGCCTGTGGAGAGCCATGAGAGTTGGCATAAAAAACAGGGGAAGAAGCAGCAAGGAGACAAAGCCACCCACAGGCTACACCTTGGGGTCCTTGAACACCAGGCAACAGCATCAGATGTCCCCTGATAGGCAATGGAGAACTGCGGAGGGAGGGAAGGAGTCGTTTGAGAGGAATGCAGTGGTGAAATTTGGGTTTTAGAAGGATCACATTGTCTGTGGTACAGAAGATGGGCAAGACCGCAATCTGGGAGTCCCCTTAGACAGTTATTGCGATAATGCAGATGGAATGGTGGCTCTGTGCACATGCAGAGTGCCACGGACATGACCAGATGAGCTGTAATCAGGACAGAGTCGGAATCAGAGCCAGAATCGGCAGGCTGGGGATTGGCTGGAGGTGGGTGATGGTGGGGAAAGTGTGAAGGATGAGAGTCCCTGGGTTCTGGTGGAGGCAACTGGGTGGGTGGTAGAGCCATTTACTGAGGTGGGAAATGCAGGGAGAGCAGATTGGAGGGAGACGATCAATTCTGTTTGAGACATATGGAGTTTGAAGGGTTTGTGGGATATTCTGGTGGAGATGACCAGGGGGCAGTTGGCTATTTAGGTCTGGAGCTCCAGTGAGAAGCCTAATCTGGAGAGAGAAATACAGGAGTTATCAGAGTGTAGGACATTGACCGTGGGACCATGGATGAGATCCTCAAGGGACTACACGTAAAGCAGCAATTCTCAACAAGATATGCATTGGGGGGGGGGGGGGGGGGGGGGGGGGGGGAGTGCATAACTCCCGGAGAGAGTATTGGGAATCACCAGAGGGGCTTTTCCGAAGTCCATATCCAACCCTCAATTCCAGTAAATACCCAGGAAGTGTGACCAAAGGAAATTCTCACTGATGAGGTGGCTTAGATAGGAAGAAATTTGAGACCATTGATGAGAAACAAAGAGGGCCAAGGTGGGCACAGAAGGCAGAGGAAGAAAAGCACAAGGAAGTGGGTACGGAAGAGGCTCAAGGAAATCCAGGAGAGTGGGGTGCCCCCAGTGTTAGGATAGAGCAGCGATTCTCAATTGTGCGTATGCACAGGGTGCTGTGAAAAATACAGATTCTTGCCCCTCCCCATTCTAATGCTGTGAGACCCTGGGATCGGCAATGAAGGCACTCCTTCCGAGTGCAGAATTTCAAGAAGATGGGTGTGGTGGACAGGCTATGCCAGCAGAGAGGATGGGTGCCAGGAGCCGGTCCATCCTTGCTGTTTCAAGGGACCTGGCATATATGGCATACTGTTCTTAATATGTTTGCTCCCCTTCTTGGCGCTATGTGTTTTAACCGAGGTCACCTCTCTGAGAAAGGTTGTTTCCCCAGGTAGG